TTAAAAATGGCATGTGAACCCTAAGCTAAAGTCTTCTCAGCCTCTTAACAACCAACAACATGATCATGTAATATATATATATATATGGAAAATGCTTTTGGAAATAAAAAACAACATTTTTGGGCAAAAGGGTCTTTTAGACATTTTGTAGTATTTAGAGTGAATTACATGTATTGGTCCTTGTAGTTTTGGGTTTTTATTACAATAGGTCCTTGATTGAAAATAAATACAACTTTGGGACTTACAGTTTGCATTTTTCCACTCTGAGTCCTTGAAGATAACTTATGTTAATAGAAATTGTTAATTAAGGAGATTTTTTTGTTTTTACCTTTTCAATTAGTTTTCATATATATATGTGTGTGTGTGTGTGTGCGCGCGCGCGCGCATCTATGTGAAGTGTGATCCCCCACCCTAGAAAAACTTTGTGGTGAATTATCGGTGAACCCTGTAAGTCATCTCCGGTATCCCCCACCCCCTTCACCATCTCCAACGACCATAACTCACCGACAATTTACCATCTTCGACATCTCTCCCTCATCCAAAAGAACCATTTGACACCATCGATTCATGTCATAGCCTTTCTTCCTTCATTTTCCTCCTCCATGTAGCACCGAGACAACCATACCCCAACCTCTGAGACAACCATCCCCTTTTCAACCTTATATACAAAAGGAAAAATTTTGTTTAGCTTAGTATACAAATTCTATAGCAGTCATCGTTTGGATGGAGTTCATCAAAAAAGAAGGAAGACAATGTCAGCTAGTTGGGGATGAACGATGGTTTTAGATAGGAGGAGGGAGTTGCAGAGACGAAGGGAAAGATGGTCGGAGCAGTGATGATTGGCAGGGTGGTTGCCTAGTTTTGTGTGTATATATAATAAAAATATAATTTGTTCTTTATTTCTTTAATAACATAAAGGCAAAAAAAAGGTAGAAAAAACTAAAATGCCCTGACAAAAGTTAACTGGGTTAACGAAATGTTTTTGATTTCGTTAGAGAAAGGGGCTTTGGAAGTGCAAAAATGCAAACGAAGGTCTCAAATTCTTATTTATTTTGATTTTGGGACCCAATACGACAAAAAGTGTAAACTTCAAGAACCAAATGCATAATTCAACCTAGTTTTTACTACATAAATTTGGTGATATTAACTTTGATTCAAAGACAATACTTTTTGTTAAATTCAAATTTGGTGTATGTGGTTTATATTAGCGGGTATTTGGGATTGCTTATAAAAATAACTTATTGACTTATTTCGGTGTGGTATCGGTAATAAGCATTTTTTAGTGTTTGGATAAACAGCTTATACCAGTGTCAAACCGGTAATAAAAAGTTTTTGAATAAGTTAAATCATTCTAACTTATAATAAACTGATAAGCACTTTTGTAAAAAAACATAAGTTGTTTCAAATAAGCAATCCCAAACACCCCATAACTAACGAGTAAGGTATCTAAGAAAAATTATTAATGATAGACAATAACTAGCTTTATAACGGATATGGTTCTCCTACTAACTCCGCTAATTAAGTTTCTGTTACCAAGGGGCAATTTGTTCATTCACCCTCCTCTCCCTCAACTTTCATTTTCAATAACGAATTTGGTCACTGAAACTACTTTTCATTTTTATGACAAATTTGTTCTCTCTCTCTCTCTCTCTCTCCTTCCATTTTTAAGATTTGGTCCTTTCTTTTAATCAATAAAATTTGGTGGCACAAACATATATCTTCTAAATATAATGAGTAAAATTATTTAAAATTTGAAGATTAGATTTTGCTATTAAACATTTTAGAATAAATTATACTTTTGGTTCTTGAGGTTGTCATACACTATCAACTTTCGTCCTTCTTTTAAATTAATTATAATTTTGGTCACTGTAGTTGTCATTTTGTTTTACTTTTGGTCCCTTAGACTAACTTTTATCAAACAACTCGAGGGGTATTTTCCTTTTTCTAGTATTTATTTAATTGTCAATAGAAAATGAATAAATATATTATTATATTATATTAATATATTATTATAAACATTAACAAAGAAAACCAAATTGCTATCTTCCACCCCTTGAGCGACCAAATTATATTTTATTTGAGTTAAAATATTTCACGATAAAATTTAAATTATTTAATTATTTTACACGTTATATTTAGAAGATATATATTTATGTTATCAAACTTTATTGATTAAAAAAAGACAAAATTTTAAAATTGAAAATTAAGAAATGGACTAAATTTGTTATAAAAATAAAAAATAGTTTGAATGACCAAATTCATTATTGAAAATAAAAGTTGAGGAAGAGAAGGGTGAATAGACAAAATTGTCCCTCACTAACGGAAACTTAATTGACGTAGTTAATAAGATGGACAATATCCGTTATAAAAATGAAACCATAAAAACATCCATCATTAAGTCAAAGACCTTCCAGCCTAGTGGTAAAGGTTTGGACATAGCATAGTCATGAACCCGAGTTCGAGCCCTGGAAGGGGAGTGTTGGCAATATTTAAGTGGGGCCATGTTTAACCTCCAAATTTGCCGGGGATTAGTCGGCTTTGGCCCGGACACCCTTACAAAAAAAAAAAAAAAAAAAAAACATCCATCATTAATAATTCTTTTTAAGGACCTTACTTATTAATTCATAGTTTTTTACATAGGTTAAGCCAGATAATAATAAATAGAACTGAAACATAATTTTTTTTGTAAATAATTAATATTATATATGATTATAAAAACTACTTGTTATTTTCATAAAGTAATTCAGAATACTCAAAAACACTTGATTATGTCATAATCGACTCTTTTAACTTGTACAACTTTTGGTTTTTAAGACAACCACTTAAATGATATCGAAAGAAAATGACCCTCCATCCATAGCTAGACTTCCTTCAAGCAAATAATACTTATAATCATTGTTAGGTATTCGTTAAGCAACGAATAACAAAAAATTAACTCTTACGGACTCTTTGATTTAGATGGGAAAATAAATATAAAAATGGAAATATATTTTCATTCCCTTAACTTAATCTGGGATGAAAATTCAGTTATTAAATAAAACAGTTTTATTCTATTTCCAGTCTTGTTAATAATTGCATATTACCTCTAATCGAACATCATGTTAATCCAATTCTTGCTCCCCCTTGAACCTTTATCATCTTATATAATATATATACACAGTACTGTTTTTTTCATCATTTGAAAACTTGTAAATTCGCCTGCGGTATGTAACATACAAACGATAAGTTGCTATTTTTTCTGGGTATCAGATGTATAACGAGTTGGAGTATTATGAATAGCAAAGAATCCACTTTTATAAAAGTATGTTGAAAAATAAAAATTCAAGATGCATGTATCACAACCTAAAACAAGATCTTTGACCACTTTCTCTTAGTTGGGTCATAACACACTTGTGTAGTCATTGTTTCTTGTAAGATATCAACATATTATCAGATTTAAATGGGACCAATGCTATGTTCAAAAAACGCTTGCCTCAACAGTCGTCATGATTTGCTGTGATTCAAGACTTGTGTTTAAAATCACATTACTCCTGAGACACGCCATGGTGTGACGTGCAGCTTTTGTAACACGATATTTGATTTAATTTATCTTTATTAAAGTCTTTTTTGTTAGTTTGTGATATATAACTTAATTTAAAATTGTTTACTATTATTGATTCATTGAAAAATAGTAGGAAAACATATGTTCATGTATATAATATTATATATGATATAGAAATTTGCCGTCATAAGTCACGACTTGATAAACGGCATGACCCCACTATGGCTCCCAAGGTTTAAGGTTTGGCCTTGTCATCACACCTTAGGCTATTTAGAACCTTGCCTACGGCCATACAAAACTACTCATTTGGGTCAACCACATCGCAAGCTTGCTTACCGGGCTCGGCTCGTGACCTGCCAAGCTTCAATCACATGAGTTTGGCTCTTATGGGGCCGTTTAAAGCCTTGGATCATAATACATACGAAACTAGACATAAAAGACCTTCCAGCCTAGTGGTAAAGGCTTGGGCATGGCATAGTCATGAACCCGACTTCGAACCCTGGGAGGGGAGTGTTAGCGACATTTAAGTGGGGCCATGTTTAGCCTCCAAATTTGCCGGAGATTAGTCGGGTTTTGGCCCGGACACCCTTGCAAAAAAAAACAAACATAATTACAATACAGGTTGTATAAGCTAATTAAGCTCAATGGACTCGACTCATTTGAGGTTGGCTAACTTAAAAGGGTCGTTTATCAAACGCTTACCGGATAAATACTTATCAGCAAGAAAAATTACTCATTTACCTTATCATGTAACATTCTTCACCATGAAAATAGATTTACTGGTGTCTTAAACCTAGAAAGCATTAGTTGTTGAGTGAAATTCTCGCCCTTTGTTATACCTCTTACCTTACCGAGTAAGATTTTGGGTCATTGTCATGGCTCAATTGGTAATTACGCATTTAGTAAACAGCCCCTTCGACATGTGAATAAACTCCAAACAAGAAAAAGCATAGATATGATGGTCAAACAATGTTTTTTTTTTTTGCATGTGGGTCGCACTTTTTGGGGGAGAAACTTAGAGGTTGTTTGTTTACCTCTTAATAGTTCCATTAAGAGGCAACCTCTAAATCGTCAAGAGGTGAATCTTGTTTGGCAAAAAAAAGTCTGCCTCTTAATGGTTTTAAAACCTTCTGAATGATTTTGTATCATGGATCTCCCTTAACCATTAAGAGCCCTAATTTTATTGTACATAATTACCAAACAATTATATTTCATTTTGCACTATATCATGAGAGCCTCTTAATCATTCTACACCAAACCATTCAGCAATTGTTAAACAGGCCCTTAGAAAAAACCCTAATGAAATAGTCCACTATTCTATTGTGGATGCTCTAAGTTGAAGCTTAGTTATGATAGTCAAACAAACATGACTCGAGCCCACCAAGCCTTTCTGTCGTTTACACCCCCTATGTAGACCTAAGTGCTCAAAGAAAAGTCTTCAATCGTAACACACATATTGTAGAACAGTCCTTTTATGAGAGAAAAACAGGATTTACAATATAACAGTACAACATTTTATCCATAGATAAGAGCACAGGTTGCAATATAATTTACACTTCATACATGATAGATATTTAACCACCAATACAAACAGGTTAAGAAAATCACTTGCAGGAGATAAATAAAAGTTAAAACAAAAATACAATAGCGATTGTATAAATTAGAAAACTTACAGGTTCAAGACTGCATACTGATCTTCATATCAAAGTCTTGGGTGATGTTTGCTTCCATTTCCTCGTTGATTTTGTCGATACCGTCATGATTCTGAAACTTAATGTTGTCCTTTTGTTTTGTTGTCTGTCTGTAGATACCAAGACTATGGCGAACTCCGACATGTGCACCTCTTCCTTTGTTAAAACCGGCTGTATCACTGCAGCTCTTCCTTCTGCCCAGCTTTGGTGATTTTGCACGAGTTGGTGGCGGCTGTCATTGAAGCAAAACACATATTTTAACATATGATCAGCTATGTAGACGGATAATCATTTACAAACCCAATAAATTTTACAAACTTACGAACCAGTTCTCGTGTGTTGTTTCACATATGAAACAACATTTGTGAAAATGCAGTGTTTATCAATGTTGTTTGATATGTGAAACGTTCAAGACTATTGTGTGTGGAAAAAGAAGTTTCACATATGAAACAATGTTTTATAAACGCTGCATTTTCATACGTGTTCTTTCATATATGAAACAACACATGAAAACTAGTTTGTAACTTTGTACGAATTATTGGGTTTGTAAAAGAAAGGGACTCCAGCTACATATCACTGCTTAAAATACATTCTATGAGAAATGGAGCGTTTGACTAGACATATAGTGTAAGAGAACTGTTCGACCATTTACCATATTTTGTTACGTATTCTATTGAAAATATATGAAACGTGTAGGGGCCAATTCAATACCATCCATGTTCCTTTTTATGATCACAATCAACAAAGTAGCAAATATAGATTAAAAGGTTATAATCTACTTCTTCTGTCCCAAAATAAATATCCACATTCCTATTTAAGTTTGTCCCAAAATAAATATCCACATTCCTATTTAAGTTTGTCCCAAAATAAGTGTCCACATTTCTATTTTAGTTTGTCTCGAAATAAATGTCTACTTTCCAATTCCACCCTTAATTATGAGATAGAGAAATTATTTATTACCTCTATCAAGGTACAATTGTCATTTAACCATTTAAAAGTGTAATGACTACACAATCCTAAAACTGTGTGCCTTTTTCATAGTTGGCCTACTCAAATTCTCAAACCTTGTTTTTACTCTTTCTGAACTGAAACTTTGAACTTTCTATTCCTTGGTGAGGTAAGATTGCCATCAATTACTGGTTAAATTTCAAGTTCCTACAATAAGCCATGCCTGAGGAGCATCACTTTTACCGTCTGCAGTGGTGATTAATGTCAGTAGTTAGTTGTTTACTTGTTCAAATGTCGAGGTTAGAATCGCAAATTCAAACTCTAGCAACACAACATAAAAGCTTTCCATGAGACAGCCGCCAGACCCACTAAACACCAGAGGTTATATCATCTCCATAACACAACATCATCTATAATGCACTGACACACCCCCAGATCTCTATACAAAAATAAACTGAACCTAGGAAGAAAAGAACCACAGAGAAGCACAAGAAAACTGCACCACACCAGCAAGACCTCATTTCAGATTATATATGTATAGATAGAAGCAAAAGTTTACAAATTGGAAAAGGAAATAGGATTGGCTAATCTAGTGACTAGTGTGGTGTCCTTGTTTGCTTTAAAATGTGTTTTTTTTTAACAGAGGAATGTAGAAAGAAGAGCATAAAGACAGGGAGAGAGGACGAGGATGAAAATATCAGTGAAAAATAATGTATGTGTTTAAAGAAGAGAGCAAGAGGCGGGGAGAGACTCTTGTATATGTGTCGAAAGGATATCAAAATCATCAATAAGCCTGTTTATTCCAGTATTAGTTGCATTAGAGTGAAAGCATGGCAACCTGTAGCGAAGCAAAGTGTGTCCTGATGGATCAAATATCTCTTGACGACTTCCTCCCACATTAATCTTCACCCACCCATACGTCTCATATAAATGTCATGGGATATTTTTCTTTCAAGATATGTTCCAGGAAGGAATACTGTGGTTGTTTGGGCACATTCACACGAGACACGACACTGGTTAGAACTTAGAAGGGTAGAGAGTGTCAAGGTCGTGGGTGAGGAGTTGAGGCAGGCAAGAACAGCATGGGATGAGCAGCTGAAACTGGACATGGAGACGTTAGTACTATTTGAGGACATGACGTCAGATAGGAGTCCCTGGAGGAGGATAAGGGGGTAGAGAACGGGGCAGTAGTTCATGCAGCTACGAAGGGGAGAGGGTAGAGAGTGACAAATAAGCTTGCGAGCCATAGGATAGATAGAAGGAGGATCTTTGGAATGTCTTGTGTGCTTTTTAGTAGGTCTGGTTGGCTTAGCAGTCTCTACCGTCCTTGTCCAACCTGTCTTTGCGCCTTCAAATTTCTTCCAATGTTTCAGGCTCTTCGCAATTTTTTTCTTTTTTTTTATTAACCTGGATATCCAACTCGCTATGCGAGCAGACTAATCTCAGGGCGACCACCTGCTTTGTGGGTAGCCCGGAGTCACCGCATTTAAACCTCCGTGGCCACAAGGGGATTTTTATTCCTCCTTGAATTTGAACCTGGGACCTCCAGGCACTTTTGACCTTTGGAGCTCAAGCTCAAACCACTCTTTGCAATTTTTCTAATTCTGCAAAAATATTTTAGCAAAATTGTGGTCCTAGCTAAGCTTCCTAAATCTTTTTCACAAGTCAGGGTCTTCTCAAAGACAGCATCTACCTCTTAAGGTAAAAAGAAAAATCTGCATACATCTTTTACCCTATATTGGGTTTGTTTGGTTTAGTTTGTTTTTTTTAAAGAGATGTCCCACTGTCATGCATGGACTATAAAAAGCACGGACGTCAAATGTGCTACCCTTGGACTTCTTGTCTTTGGCTTCTTGTGTAAAAAGTTGCAACTATCTTAAGTCCTTCAATTAGAAGGAAGTAGAAGGTTTGATATTTGTCAGTAGGTGCAACGTTGCTAGAACTTGAAAGACTATGTCTTGACGGTTAAGAACAAGAAATTGGGTAAAGATGCAAACTCTAGCTAACTCTCAAGATTCTTATGCGATTTACCCTAGATAAGGTAGTTGATCGTGTCACTATAGCAGTGGTGATGCAGTTAGCAGTCACCAACCAAATATCAGTTACCATTTCTGCGATATCGCTAATAGCGGCACGATATGCTGCAATTCCACTGTTTTTTGGATCTCGGTCAGCAGTGTGAAACCCACTATTTATGTTTGGAATTTTTAGTGACACGAGGCATTGATGGGCCATCGTCGTTGTTTAGCAAGACAGAGACATACCATACACGATCATTAGACCATTAAGTGTTATTAGGCTGACTGCTGATTGTCAAGAACGAAAAAAGCTTGTAGACTGTCATGCACTCTTGCTGATAATAGAAGAATGGTTGTTGCTGCCCAGGTCAACTGTCATTGTCGAAGAATGGAAGAAGGTTGTAGCTATCAACTGTCATAAACTCTGGCTGCTTATGGAAGAAAAGTTTTGTTATTGTCGAAGAGCGAAAGAAGGTTGTTTTTGCCCTAGTTGGCCGTTGAAGAAGAATACAAATCAAACTATATGCCTCACTTCAGCCTTATACTATTTTGGCTAGAAGGCAGAAGAAGGATACAAAGCATACGATTAGTGTAAGTTTACACAGTATAATCCTATCGTACTAAATTTGGCCAGAAACATACAAGTTAGTATGCGTCTAACTGGTGCTTTCTAGAAACAGTTGTACTTTTTAGTTTTTTCTACGACATGGTTCACATAAAAAGCTTAAACAATTATATTTTTACTTCAAAAAGCTTAGAACAGTGGTTTAATCTGTTGTTGAATGTTGAGTTTCATGGTGGATGGGTGGACAGTTCGTGGTTAGACTAATCTCTATATATTATTAAGTACTAGATAAGTATTATATATATAATTTGTTGTTGAAACTTATGCTTCTGTTGAATATTACTATATTATATGTATTGCATGTATAACATAGTAAGTATTGCATATAACGCAAAACATAGCATAAACCATTATAGCTGATCCCAAAAATATATTTTTAAACCACAAGGGTGGTGCCTGATTGGTTTGAGCTTGGCTCCAAAAGTCAAAAGTACTAGGAGGTCCCAGGTTCAAATCCAAGGATGAATAAAAAAATCCTCTTGTGGCCACGGAGGTTCAAATGCGGTGACTTCGGGCTATCTGCAAAGCAGGTGGTCGCCCTGAGATTAGTCGGCCCGCATAGCGGGTTGGATATCCAGGTTAATCATAATATATATATATATATATATATTGTTTACTGCACGAGCCACAATTTTTTCACTATACCACCACAATGACCAACTGCTATAGCAAATAGCAGCCTTGATCGCGATTCCAATTTTGGAGTATGATAACTGCTTAGAATAAGATAAGTAATAACAAATATGGTAATTGTGTAGGCAAAGAGGTGGGTGTACAACCTGTAGTCATGCTATAAGACACCGTTACAACTACAGGAGAACCAAGCAAAATCAAAATCATAAAACCTAAGGGGAACCTCATGGAAGCACAATTGTAGCTAGTGTTAAATGTTACTAATTGTCATTTTTGCAAATGTATACAACTTTTCACCTTCATTATCCTTGTAAAACAAGTGTGTAAACAAATACATGAAAAACTAAATAATTTATGGATTACCTTCTTTAACTCAGCCTTTGGTGGTGGTCCCTCGTGGTAGAAGCTTGGCATTGGGTTTGCCTTAAATAACAAGCTCTTTCTCAATTGCTTGAGAGCTGCTTCTTTTTCTTCCTATTAAATATAAAACCCAAGGCAATTAGGCAAATCAAAAGACAAGCATAAACTTTGGGTTGACATGACATAAAGAAGAGAGTTGAGAAAACAAATTATAACTAACAAAATCATAGATGTGTACCTTGGTCCTTGCCTCACATTGAATTTTCTCAGCCTCCAGTGCTTGTTGTTTCTCCTCTAATTTGGAATAAAACTGATGTGAATAAACACAAAATGAAGAACATATGTGCAGTTAACATTCTGATAGTATCTGTAAGAGATATTAGCATGCAAGAGTTAACGAAATATTTACCTCTTTCCGTCTCTCTGCGCGTGTGCTACACCTGAAGACAGGAGCTGATGCAGAAGTTGGCTTAGACGTTACAGTTCTTGCTGATGCAGCAGTACTTTGTGTTGTTAAGGACTAAAACAAATGCAAAAAAGAATAAGCAAAAGAACAAAAAGAAAGCGGAATTGAAGATATGGATACAAGGATGCGACAGAACAAGAATCATCTTCATCCGGATGCTTCTTGTTATCTGGTTGCAAAGGCTTCCTCGCTACTGAAGGTGGGACTATCTGCAAGGGAATGGAAAAGCTAGAAGCTCAGTACTACACATGCTTCTGATCTTGTATCAAATTGATACAATATCAGGGAGTATCCACTATAACTTTTTGATATGTCCATGACAAAGCAATATGAGCCTTTTGCTTTGCTCTACTAAAATTGTACATTGACATGCTTCGCATTCTTAAATAAATGATTACAACATATATACAAGATTATTTAGTGAAAGCTGGAAGGGTGTGATAGAAGAGGGCACTCATGCCCCCCAGTTCCAACACCATTGGCTAATGTTTTTGGTATATGGTCTATCAGGCATAAAAAGCATATGATTCTTCCTGGATTATTTGTACACCATGTGCAAAGACGGGACAATAAGATAGCTGGCTAGCTGGCAAATTCGGCTCACATCCAAAGAAGAATAAAACTGTTACGTCCTCTATCCATCTTCCTACTGAAGGCAAGATTATCTGATTGCATAAAAAAACATCATTTAGAGGACCTCTGCTCCTATGGATTTTTAGCATTTGGTTTTTCATTTTCAAAGCTTAAACCAACTACCAACATGCTATCTTTTGTATTTACATTTCCACCTGATGTTTGTTTGCTTTTATGGTTCTCTGGGTGGGTCAGCCCATTTCCCCGCTAATATACCTTAAAGGTTAAATTCTGGTACCTGCATCGTCATTCTTTCTTATTATTCTACATTTTATCATAGATCCCAGGGTGAGCAAGACCCACGTTTTAGGCTGTTTTCCAACAACCAAGTTCTAAAGATAGGAAAATGTGCATTTGATACAACATGAATTTTAATGGCATTAAGCCACAATACTGTAAGAAAAAAAGATGTATATTCAACTTGGGAAATTACCTCAGCTGTTTTCTTTGTAACTTGGGCAGGAGAACTGCTTGGATGAGATGACTTGGCTACAAGATTACCAGCCTGGGGTGCTGCACCAACAGGACGAGTTCCATACAGAGCACGCTTTTCAGTAGCAAGAGCAAATGGCTGTGGAACAGTGTGTTTTGTTTTAGCATGTCCAACTGCAGATTTGGTTGAAGGTTTGATAATTGTGTTCAACTTCTTGCTTTCGCCTTCTGTTTGCGGTGTGTCAGATGCCGTCTTCTCCTTCACCAAGCAGGTTTCACAGTCCAATGTGTCATCTTCATCACATCTTTGAACTTGGCCAAGTTCTTTCGTATGTTGCACGTCTTCAATAACACGTTTCTCCACTTCAAACTCCTTAACTTCATTTGTTGTCTGAACATCAGGCTTTAAGTTCCCATTGACAGAAACATTGGGTTCTGATGAACCATTGTTACTGGTGGTATCATTTCTTGAATCACCAGAATGATCATTTGAATATATCATGACACAATCTGCCTCCTTGTCCAAACATACATCAGCCACCTCCATTCCCATTAGACTGCAGAGAAGACAGTGGAGTTACAAACAGAATGTACATCTCAACGACCATCTAAGCATCATAGGTGTAGTTACTCTGGTCTACTCAATCAATGTTGGTTATTATAGTTATTTTATAATATCTCAAAAATATGTTTTATGTTATCAAAATTTTAAAGGTCGACTTATCCAAAACCTACTTAGTGCATCATATCCACTAAGAAAATGGCTGCACTATTATATATTTTATGTATGGTGTAGCACCAACTGATACGGTAGAACAATGGATAGAGTGATTTGGTTATACAAGTTTTTTTCTCAACAGGTTAAACTAAAACACGAAATCCTAAGGACTGTAGTAGAAAGTAGTTAGAAAGCCATCATGATGCCTTCATTGATCCAAGAGCAGAAGAGATGTGCTGGTGGCACAATCATAAGCTTAGTAAAATTTAAAAAAGAGGGATCCGAAACATCATGTTAAGAATAATCCTTAAATTTCAATATGAGTGTTCATTTGGATTGATCTAAACATATTCATTTCAATCTCATTATGAACAATTAGACAAATTCATTAGTTGCACTCTCTACCCTCCCGAGATCAATCATGATAACTGGGAACCTTCAGTTTAAAATTGTAAATCATGCCCATGTATCATTCTTCCATGAACGTTCCTTTCTCGCATCATCCTTCTACAGTATTAAAATCTACCACTCATGATATCCAAGATGCTGAGCTTGTACGTATGCTTTCCAAATACAAAAAATGGTAGAGAAGGGATCCAAAAATGAGTACAGTCTAGAAGATATTAGAAGTAAAAGGCAGACAACAACAGTTTTCCAAACAAAGAAATGCGCCTAGTCATCCAACAATAAATTGAATCATTAGGCACCAACATTTTGCTCCACTAATACTGGATAAGCAAAGCAATATAGAGGGAAAATCTACTTTTACCTAATATCAATATTATAACTTCATATATATAACTATAAACAGCAGAATTCCAAAATCATACAAGTAGTAATCAGCCACACTTGTCTTGGTACTCAACTCATCATAATTCAGGATAAGGCATAGACACCATAACATGCATGTTATAGAAAACTGCAAGAGCTTTTAACCAAATTCATAATCTAAAAGCAAATAGATGTGTATGAGCTTTGTGAGTTTATATTATGTAGTTCTATCACTGACTCATAGAAAGCCTGAAAGGATCCCCCCCATCCCCTCCCAAGTCCCAACATGCGCACACAAAGATGAGGAGATAGATGAAGACATCTAAATAAGAAAACCTCAAGTTCAGAGGTCGAGAGCTTTATTAAAAGTATTACACTACAGAATCCACCTTTTACCCAATTACATTTGAGCTTCAAAATTACCCACACCCCCACTCCAGAAGAAGAAAAAACACCCTCTGAGTTCATACAATTAGCCAATAATACTACTAGAGCTCCACAAAAAAGACAATATACCCATCAGAATTCATAGCCAAAAAATTTACATCAATAACCAACATCCGAAGATTCTTATGCTTCTATCTGGTCACCAAAAGGAAGCTCCTTGTGTTTGTTTCCAATATGCTACATTCTCTCAATCTCTCATAATTTCACAGTAAACTTTACCCAGAAATATCACATTTCCAGTGACAAGCTTCCATATCAAACCTAAACAGAAAGCAAAATCCGAAAATATCCAAATGAAAACGCCGATCCGGAATTCGAACCCTCCAAAAATGGAACAGTAATGTAGATCTAATTAGAATCCAAATACTTGTACAATTACAAGAACATTGCAAAATACAAAGCATGACAGTTACATAAATTCAAAAAAAACAGTAAAAATGTAACCAGATTCTTACATATAACTGCGTCTGATCTGCGAAGAACCTGAACAGTTCCTCTTGAACTCGCAAGCAATTTCTCTCTCTAGATTTTTTTGAGTAATTATTATTGTATCTGACGGGGAAGGGTGTATATATAGTGGATAAGTTAACGGCGTTAAGTTACCGGCGTTTGGGTTATTTTTGAATTTTTAACGCGCTGAGGCGCTCAGCTTGATGCCAAAAGGTGTTCCGTATAAATTTAAACTGACAAATTTGCCCTTCGAATATTCATTTTTCATTTTTTAATAAAATTGTCATGGTCTTATGGTCATGACCTACTCACCTTTTTCTAGGGTACCCTTTTCAAACAAGGAGATTCCCAATTAGGGTAAAATTTAAAAACAATTTGTATGTTTTTATCAAAATAAATAAAGTTAAATTACATGTTTGGCCCCTGTGGTATACCAGTAATGACAACTATGGTCCCTAAAGTGAAAAAAAAACCTATAGATATGGTCCATATGGTATGCATTTTGTTAAATGACCCCAAGTGCCATGTACATGAGGGTCAATTTTGTCTTTTTATACATCCTTTTAGTTTTTATATACCTCTATTTTTATTTTTTTATTTTTATGTGAATGGTGAAAACAAAATCAATTTCAAAATCAAAATCCTAAACTTCAAACACTCTTTATTTATCTGTAATGTCTGTAATTTTCTTTACCTTCTTTTATTTGAGTTCATTTATAAATTTGGTTTTTTAGTGCTTAAGGACCTGTTTGTTTTTTAAAATTTGCCTCTTAATTTCCTCTTATGTTTGAATCGGTCAGACATACAGACTTTCAGATCGTTTGTTTTTTTCCCCAAATTAAGAGTTGAATTCATAAGGTTTCCTCTGAATTTTTAAGTGGTAACCCTAGCTCTTAATACCTCTTATTTGTTTATCCGCCTCCTTACGTCGCTCTCATCCGCCTCCTTTACGTCGCTCTCATCCGCTCTCGTCCCATTCATCGATTGAAGCTGGTGTTCTTCATACATCGCAGATTCAAGCTGGTGTTCTGGTAATCTTCTCGATCTCTCTTTGGTTTCTTCTCGATCTGCTTCTTTATACATCTCGATCTCTCTCGTCCCATTCATCGATTGAAGCTGGTGTTCTTCATACATCCGCTCTCGCCCTCTGTTTTTGTCTCGTCCCTTAGCTCGATTCAAGCTTCGATTGGTGTTCTTCGATCTTCTGGAACTCTCAAATAAAGGTAATCTTCGATGATTCAGATTTCAGATTTCAGACGTAAAAACAAATAGTTTGACTGATTCAGATTTTAGACTTCAGCACCACCTCTTAAAATTCAGAAATGAATTCAGACTTCAGACTTCAGCACCTCTTAAAAAACAAACGCCACCTAAGTTAAATATGGGTCTCAAGTTTTACCCTCCCCCTTCCCACCATCCATTTTCCAATTTGCTTCTAGTGACGTAGGTCTCAACCCATAAGCATCATGAAGCACAAAAACGGAGGTGGAGCATGTTTATTTCAGTTGCTCGATTCATGAATGGTTTTACCGGATGTAGGCATGGTAATGGGTCGGGGATGGTCACGAGGACCCCAATCCCCCCATCTTTGTCCTCGTCCCCATCCCCGCGGGGGAATTTCATCACATCTCTATCCCCGTTTCCAAAATGGGGAACGGGGATCCCAACGAGGAAACGAGGATTTTTTTTCCATTTGTGTAAGTTTTTCTAGATCAAATATGTGATACGTCACACATGTTTAAATCTCACATATTTCTAATAAACCTAAAATCAAAAGGAATTTAATTTAATACAATATATATATATATATATATATATACCGTCAATAATTAATAAATCAAAAACCAAAAGAAATTAAACTTAATCTAAAAAAGTTAACGTCACATGTACCAAAACATATCGAATAATATCCAAAACCACATCTAATAATATCCAAAATATATTGAAATAAAAATTACCAATTATCAAATTAATAGAAATAAATAATAAATAATATAATTTATTAATTAATATATATACAAGTAAAGTGGCGGACAGGGTGGGGAGTGCGATACATGTCCTCGTCCCCATCCCCGGTTTGAGTCAAACGTGGATCCCCATCTCGTCCCCGAGACCCGGTTAAACGGGGAATCCCTGTCCCCGACTAGGGGTGGGTGGACCGGGTTCCCCGACAGATCGAGGCCAATTCCCATGCGTAACTGGATGTATGGATATGGATCTTGATATTAGTGAGTTTGGATTTCGAATGGTAGAACTTTTTGGTATGTATGTTGATGTTAATGAACTTCTGGGTTTTGAACTTCTAGCTTTTACATCTTCATTGTGTTTCGCTTATGCGTTTATATGTTGATGAACTTCTAGGTTTTTTGCTTATGCATTTGCATTTGCATCTACATCAGTTTCTACATCTACATCGAACTCATACACCTTCAAATTAAGGGATTTTCATTTTTATTCTGAGGGTTTTCTTGTTTCTGACTTTAATTTAGGGTCTTTTATTTAAAATAAATGAGTTTCGTTACAGTGATTTAGGAATAATGAATTCCATTTGTTTGTATAATATGTCGTGAAGAACAAGAACTCGTCTTTTTAGTAAACAGTTGATGTAACAAAAGACAAAATGGCGGAGTATTTGGGTGGACTAACAGAGAGAAAATCGACAATCTTAGGGTAATGGACCTATTTGGCAACAAAATGCATACTACATGGACCATATATGTGAAAAGAATTAGGGACCATACTCGTAATAATTGTATAATACATGGACCAAACATGTAGTTTACTCGATAAATATTGTTTTCATTCTATAATAACTTTTTTTACATCATATTAGGACTAAAACGTTTTTTTCATTTAGGTTAGTTTTTGATTCAAAATTTTCATTTAAGGGCCGTTTACCAAACGCTTATCCTGGTAAGAATTTATCGGCAAAATTCAATATTATCACTTACTTACCGGGTAGAATTTTAGTCCACGAAACGATTTGTATACAATAATTTACTCGGTAAGCGTATGGTAAGAGTCGTCGTTCTCACTTACCGGGTAAGACTCTAGGTCCTTATCTTCGCTCTTACCGGGTAAGATTATTAATTCTTCCCATATTCATCAGTAAGGTAATGTAACTTGATAAACACTTATCGGATAAGTGTTTGGTAAACGGCCCAATTATGCTCCCTAATTGTTATGTTGTAAAACACATTTTTTTAATTCAAATTCAGTTTATGCATATTTCTGTATTGAGGATCCACTGTTGGAAGCTCTTGTTTTTGTTGTGTCTTTACATTGATTACCAAGAAAGTCATAATACAGTCTCATGGTCATTTCATCACGGTCGTCATTGAATTGTGATAGATGCAACATAGTCTTGTCGAAGTTAACAACCTTCATTGGCTCTCACACCCGACCATAAACAACTTTACACGAGCACCCATGCAAAATAGTCAGTGGCTCAGTTAATCTCTTGGATTCAACAAACCGTCAACTCGTGAAGGCAACATTCATAATCAACTCTCATACTTTGAAACCTTACACACCATCAATCTTAATTCAAATTGTAGCACTTCATTGCACACAAAGCTTCACATATATCTAGACTTGATGTGTCCAAAAGCTTCACACGTATTTTACGGTTCCAGAACATCGTTTATCTTTTCTAGACATCATATCACATAGTCAAGTAACACCAACAAGTTCGTCCTTGAGCCCTAATATTTCAACAGGGTTTTCACATAGCAAATCTTTAAACGAACCACATGTTCACAACCATCCACTTTTCACGATCTAGTGATAACCACAACACATGTGAGCCTAACATCACGATCAAAATCATTACGAAAGAGATTTATATTCATTTCTCAAAAGAACTTAAATTTGGTTTTTTTTAGTCTCTTTGATAATCAATGCAAAAGTCAATAATGATCTTGACACATAAATGCACACATATATAAACTCAAACAAAATCTGCTTTTGAATTTCTGTATAAAATATATCAGACTTTATATTTCCATATGAATAATAACTTATTTGCAACGAAATTAAAGCACGATTATTCATAATGAAAATAACTATAATTGACGTAGACGATGGAAAATATCGAACTGTTACATGCGTATGTATCTTAGAAAGCATGTAGAAAGTCGGTGCACAAAGATTTTTAAAAGTTGTTAAAGAAAATGCACTAAATGATAATAAATACGTATTCAAAGATATATGTCGTTCCATGTTCTCCCACCCTATCCCCTATACGTTAGATTATGGGGGACTTCCCGACTCTAAACTCTTGTACCATATCAACAAAATTTGTTTAAAATGCGACGTTATTCTTAACATTCTCAATCGCCCCCAATTAGGGATGAAAACACAACAGGATTGGGGAGAGGTTCGTCATCCCTGTCCTTACCCCTGGTCAAGACGAATGAACCAGTTACCCTTCCAAGTCAGCACAAATCACCATACCCATAATCAGAATCTACAACTGGCACCTGCTAATCCTCTAACTGCTTCACTCAATGGTAACGCAGAGTTTAGAATCTGAATCTGGCGTTTACACAACAATTTAATTAACCCATATTTAATAAAAAAAATCATCAAAAGTATTATTAAATAGATATTTCTATTAAAAAAAATATAATTAGAGAAATAAAAGTTAGAAAATTGGTAAATTTGGATGGTGGTAAGGTAGATTTATCCATCTCTACGTTACCTCCAAAATAAACAGCAAGGATGAGGTGGTGTAGATTGTCAAGAGGATGTGCATATTTCAACAAATTCTACATATGAGTTTAAGCCACTGAATTAGTGGCCCCTCTCCTATGATTAATCCTCCTAAACCATTTTTGATAATACCCTTTCCAACCTTTTCATTACTTCTTTTTTATTATCAGATAATATTTAGGTAAAAAAAAGCTGATTACAGATGACTTTAACCAACCACCAGGTCTTAAATGGAACTGGTATCTAAGGACACCAATGTGTGGGGGGCATTTTTTGACTCAATTAGCGGCTGAGACTAGTGGGAGACCTGGACTCGAACCAAGACCTACTTATATATGGACAAAGTCAGCACATCCATTTAACAACTGAG